TCAAGTGCTGAGATTAAAGGCGTGCGCCACCACTGCCCAGCTCATATAAATCTTAAAAAGTAAAAATAAAAGAACCTGTGGACTGCTGGAAGAAGTGGCAGGGGGAGCTCTGTGAGTGGGAGGCTAGCTGGTCTACAGAGTAAGTTCCAGTATAAGATAGAGACCCTATCTCACAAAACAAAACAACAACAAAGTGACATAGCTTGTGAATTTATTGTTGTTCAATACATGTTGACATTATAGAAATATTCAGATGTGTCCATCATGTTTCTGGCATGGTGTGTTCATGACACAGACAAGAGAACAACTGAATATTGTTATGGGGAGACTGGGAAACTGTTCTCTGAACAGTGCTGAACAATCCAGAGCAGATTGTGTAGGTGATCAACTATTTTTGTCTTGGGAATTTCACAGTGTCTATATTAAATTGGCCTAAATATTTCTAACCTAAAGGAACCAATTCTATGCCAACATTGTTAAAACAGCATCAGATATATATCCACTTCTTGCATCTCTCCTCAAGATATTTTAAAAATATTTTTTGTGTCTATGCATGTGAGTACAGGTGTCCTAGGAGACCTGAGGTGTTGAATTGCTTTAGAACTGGGGTTACAGGCAGTTGTGAGCCAACTGACATAGGTATTGGGAATAGAACTTGTGTCCCCTGTGACAGCCATATACACTCTTAGCCAATGAATCATTCTTTGAGGTCCAAATACACTTCTCCACATGACAGTTTCCTGAGTTTACTGTCCCTGAAGATTTAGGGACACAGTCTCAAGTCTAGGCATGTGGTAAGAAACCTCAGGACACATCCAGACACTAATTAGTGTTGGAGTATGAACAAGTTGGCTTGCTCAGGATAGGTGATGGAAGGTTCTTGAATCTTACAAAGCATACAGTTCAGGTCAGGTGCATGTTGGGAAGATTCCCTTGGAAAGCGCAGGTGGAAAAAAGGTCACTAAGGGCCTTCTCGGCTTTCACTGAGGGAAGTGAGAAAGGATGGCCTCTGCTGGCCAGGCGGAGGATTGCGTCTCTCTCTCTCTCTCTCTCTCTCTCTCTCTCTCTCTCT